GGGTGACACTGGGTGTGTCGACTTCCTTCAGAGCAGCATCCTGACGAAGCATATATGAGGATGGGATGTGTCCAAAGTCCAGTACGGACAACATCGAACGAGTCCCATTTCTTGTATCCCTTGTCATACACGTGTTGGGATGGCGCCTTCGTCGGCTTGCTTGGGGTGTCGATGGTGGCATTCAGCGGGTGCTGGATGGACACTGAGCCGTCGGACCCGCGCACACTCATGGCCACTGCACGGCGGACTGGCGCGGCGGATCGTTTGGATCCTTGGAGCTGTTGCTCCTTCTTGGCCATGGACTTCTCCCATGCGCTCATGTCTGAAAAGTAATCCTGCAAGTACGAGGCATTCTCACGGATCTGGCGCTGCACAGCCAAGCTTTCCATGATGTGTGTTGGAGTTGGCGCAATAATGTCGAGCAAGAACGACTGCTTGGAAAAATATCGAAATACCGGATAAGGTTTTTCGAACAGGCAATTATCCGTACAAACAAAAGCTCAAACCCCGAACCCCCGCCAACTCTGGTCGGAGTTTCGGGGTGTTCCTACAATGACTACCAATGAGTAGGCTATCATTACTACTTATTGACGTTCTTGGTCGCAATGCGGCTGACGATGGCATCGCTGAGCGTGGTCACTTGCAGCTCCAGGTCCTGAATCTTGTAGTGCTTCTTCAACACTTGGATGTGTTCGGGAGTCAAGTGGGCGTGGTTTTCGATGGAAGTCACAGGTTTCAGCACGCCATCAATGCCGACTGTGTCGAGGGCGGTAGCATCGTCGAACACGCACACAAGGACCTGGGTGGCTTGGTTGCTGATGCCGAAGCGGCGGAGCGAATCTGTGACGTTGCGCGTCCCTGACAGATTGAAGACAAGTTCCGAGTGGAGCGAGTTCGTGGTCATCGAGTGGTTTTGCACCGAGAGGAGCGCGCGAGACGCGGCGGCGTGGATTTGGAACAGGCTCACGACCTACCATCGAGGGATGAGTCGAGTGGGGAGAGGAGGTTGTGTACCGTGTCTGCATTAATGAGGGCGACGTTGAGTTCGTTGGACAGGATCTTGTGCAGCAGCGACGCACTGCTCTTCACGTCGGTGTAGTACGCCAAATACAGCGACCTGCCGCAAAACAGCTCGTACACATGGGATGAGGTCGTCATCGGTGGAGGTGGATAAGCAATATCCGGATACAAGTTGTATCCGGATATTGCTCGGTCAAGCATATACTACGTACTAGTAACTTAGTATATTTCAAATATATGCGTCGGCGCCTCTGCAATGAACACTACTCCCCACACTACGTACAACCCCCCTACACCCCCACTACACCATTTTTCAATTGACTTGGACATTTTCTCGATGGATTCGGTTGATATACCATTGGATTGAGTGACGTGCCCATTCGAAGGAATGAGTGCCAAATGGATTTGGTACCCACTTTCGGTGTGCCCATTGGATTTGGCACAACCCCCTCGTGTGCCCATTCGATATGCCCATGCGCCTTATAGAATTGGTTTGTACCCAACCAAACAACCTTTAGATCATTCGAAAGTGTCGAGCACTCTTTAGAGTTGGCAATTGCTTTTTCTAGAACATCGGACGGGGGGTTCTACAATTCTCGCGCGCTTTTCGTCACTTTCAAATCTTCCGCGTGACAGTCAACCATGGACAACACAGCACCCCAATCGCTACCCAAACGAACGTACAAACGCATTCCGTTGTCGACCAAGAAGCGCATATAGTGTAGTTGATGCGTTCAATAACGCGATGGACTGGAAGCGCGTCGCTCAAGCGAACGGCGTCAACATCAGCAGCGCACGAAATTAGCTGCATCTGGACTTGTTAACGTCGAAACGACGAGGTATGAAAGTCGAGTCTTCACGATCTAACATTGTCATGAAGGGGGAAACAAATCATGACTCCTGACGGAGGAAAACGTCGACATGCTGCAAAGTTGGGTGGAGCATGACGTCCAAATCACGCTCCAAGAGATCAAAGATCGATTGGCGCTTGATTTGGGCATCGAGGTGTCCACATCGACTTTGCATCGTGAACTCGACAAACGTGTGTTCACGTACATTTTATTTTCATTTCTGAGTTTTCCTAATTGAATGCAAGCACGACACTTTTGAATGATCTAAAGGTTGTTTGGTTGAGTACAAACCAATTCTATAAGGCGCATGGGCATATCGAATGGGCACACGAGGGGGTTGTGCCAAATCCAATGGGCACACCGAACGTGGGTACCAAATCCATTGGGCACTCATTCATTCGAATGGGCACGTCACTCAATCCAATGGTAAATCAACCGAATCCATCAAGAAAATGTCCAAGTCAATTGAAAAATGGTGTAATACCATCAGCAAACGTCCACGTCGCACACAACTGTCAATGCCCGTTGCTTGTGACCAGTAAACCCAAATACATTTCAGAGCTTCATTCTACAAGAAAATATTACTCTGAACAAAGATATAATACTTACGCTCTAACCAATGCGCTGCGAATGACACTGGGAATTATTAAATCGAGTATCTAATATATATACTAATCGGTGGGACCTGGGGCAACATTTTCCTGCTCGGCGCGGACAGTTTCAACTGTGTGGTCAACGTATCCCTGCGCGGTGGATGTGTGGTACGAGCATAATCATACCGAAGCCCTCTCCTCGGCAAACCTACCCTCGCAATCCAACGTCCACCAAGCCGCCAAATCGTCCTACCAAGGCCCGAACTCCAGCACGCCCAACCCAGCCTCTGCGTGTCTACAAAAATGTCCCCAAAAAGTCCCGCGCGAGAAAGCTTACCCCTCCCGATCAAGCCTCCGCCCGTACACTACATTGGCCTGTGCAACAAAGCGACCAAGCCAATCTCCCAATTTAGTCTCACCAAACTGTAACGTTTTCTTGTCTCATTGTATTATTAAACAAAAACACATTTTTCGAAATTAATATACTAATATTTATTTCATTATTAGGTCTAATATTATTAATTGTATCTTCTTTTAATTTTATAACATTATATTTAGCTATAGAATTACAAAGTATATCTTTTATATAATAACTGCTTTAAAAAAAATCACTACTATCTATAGAAGCTGCTTTAAAATATTTTATTTTAGGTTCTATAGCTTCAACTTTTATATTACTAGGTATTTCAATAATTTATGGTGTTTTACTTTAAATTTTGGTAATATTTTTTGAATTTTATCTATTGTTTTTTACTTTTGAAAATATAAATTCAATAATTGGTTTTACAAACGGTTCTTTATTTATTTGAACAGGTATTATTTTCTAAATGGGCTCAGCTTCTTTTCATTTTCGGTTACCTGATGTTTATGAAGGTGCTCATAGCACTTGGATATAGTACTGAGAGGTGCAAATTATCCCACTGTTTGTCCGATTAAAATTCTGTCAAGTAGTGATTTTCTCACTATCTATCCGACTTCGACCGTATGATTGCTTGCCCGGCTTGAAGTTTTTCTAAAATGGCAACTCTGTCACAGCTGTCGTTTACTCCGGCGTAATATATTTGTCCAAAAACTGACTAAAATGACATGCATTCCGTGGGTTTGAACGCTTTTCAGATATGGCTGGTCGATTTTCAGATTTATTGAACGTTTTTCGGTGCTTGCCACCATCCCATTTCATGTCAA